CATCTGGGCTGCCTTTTCCCCTAGCATGTGCGGCTGGCCTCCAAGTCATGGAGCGACCCTCCTGGTACTTATCTCAACTATTCTTGAGTGTTAATCTCCTATTTTGTAACTTTATGTTCCCCAGATGAATGCAATCTTTCTATGTGAAATAGACACAACTTTAAACGGGCAGCCTTAGGGAAGAGATAGGACAGCAGGGAAGGTGCTTGCCTCACACGTGGTCGACCCAGATTAGATCCCTGGCACCACATAAGGTCCTGAGCATGGCCAGGGGTGATCCCTGAGCAGAGAGCCAGGAGTAAGCCCTGAGCACTGCCAGGTGTGGTTCGATACCCCCAAACTTTTCAAAAAATAAAAACTATGACTTTCCACTCTAGGGCAAATTCCTTGTATTGTTGGTTTGCAGCCATTTGAGCTCTGAGAACTTTGATTTGCAAATGAAACTTTGACATTTAAAAACAAAAGCAGGAATGCCCTGACACAGAGGGGGAGAGGGGGGATGGGGGGGAGGGATACTGGGATCCGTGGTGGTGGAAAATGGGCACTGGTGGAGGGATGGGTATCTGATCATTGTATAAATGAAACCCAAGCACAAAAATTTGTAAGTCTACAACTGTACCTCATGGTGTTTCACTAATAAAAACTAAATTAAAAATAATAATTTAATCAACAAAAAATTATTATATATATAAAAAAGCAGGTGGCGTGGAGGCGGCTGGGGGCCAGGGGGCTCTTCAACCAGAAGGGATTGTTTGTTCATTCTGAGGCCACACTTGGTGGTCTGGGGTGGGGGCTTTGCCCCAGCTAGGCTCTCGGGGAACACAGGAATGGGGAAGAACACATGGGCTACAGGAGCTTTGGCCCTGGAGATCTCACCTTGGCGCCCAGAATTTTGAGCCTCCCTCTTGCCTCCTCTCCTGACCTCGGTCTCCCTCACCTTGGCTCCCTCATTTTGAGGGAGAAGGGTGGTGTGGAATGCCCAAAAGGAGAGACAGACAGACAGACAAACAGAGAAGAAGAAACGTACACGCATGGAGGGATGTATTGGAACACTGTAGGACTGAAATTCAATCATGAATGGCTTTGTATTGCTCTAAAAATAAATAAGGATTAAAAAATCAAAATCAAAAATAGGGGACTGGAGTAATAGCACAGCAGGTAGGGCGTTTGCCTTGCACGCGGCTGACCTGGGTTCGATTCCCAGCATCCCATATGGTTCCCTGAACACCTCCAGGGATAATTCCTGAGTGCAGAGCCAGGAGTGACCCCTGTGCATCGCCGGATGTGACCCCCAAAAATTAAATAAATAAAAAATAAAAAGGTTGGTGTGTGTGTGTGTGTGTGTGTGTGTGTGTGTGTGTGTGTGTCCGCGCGCGCGCACATGCCCGCGCGATGGTTGAGTTTACCAGCGTTTCCAGGTTAGCACTAAAACTACCAGAACTTAGACGTGCCCAGGGGGCTGCAGGCCTAGTCCCTCGCGACTGGTCCTGGGTTTCTTCCCCCTCAGGCCCCACACCCCAGCTCTGTCTGGCGGCTCTCTAGGACCTCAGTCTGGATGACGGTGACCAGTCCAGGTGGTCTTCTCGCCTCCTCTCCTGACCTCGGTCTCTCAGTGTCAGCCTTCCTGACCCCTGGAAGTTGATCCAGGGGTCACCTTCCATTGTGCCACGGATCCACACACAGGTTTGCTGCTCATCTGACAAACACCCAGATGGCTAAGTTGCCATCACAGAGTCTCCGCCACATTGTGGCGGCCAGACTGGAGGCCGAGGGGAAGAAAGGTGGAAGGAGAAGGTGGCGGGAGAAAGCTGGAGCTGTGATGAGGGAGATCCTCCTTCCTGAGAGGAAAGTGTGGCAGCCATGGAGGCAGGACCGTCAGCAGCCACCCCGGCTCTCCTGGAGCCAGTCACGGATGCGACGTCCCCTTCACAGATGGCGGCTGCTGGGAGCAGGGGCTCAGCCCGGCCTTGGGCAGGATTTCTCTCTCAAAGCGCCTCAGCTGTGGGACATGAGCAGGGTTTCTGTCACGTGGAGTGGGAAGGATTAACAATGCACTCTAGAATCACCCAAGACTCTCCTGCTTCCCCCCTTTCTGGTCTGTTATTCAGGATATCACCCATCACCTGTCCCTGATCTGGAATCTGGGGCAATTCGGACCCCCACACACATTTCCCCAAAAAAGGCCGTAAAGGCTGTTCCCCTAGCCATGCTGCCATGCTCTCCATCTGTTCTTCCTTTCTCTCCCATTCATGAACTTCACTTTCCAGCATGATTGGTCACTCAGTCGGCTTCCTACCACCCTTCACGTTCCCCCTTCCACATTCTCCTTTATTCTAGAACAGGGATGAGGAATATCAGGTTCATGGGCTGCATCATGGGGTCTGACCCTGGTCCATGATCGGACAGGCACGGATGCTTCTTATTGCCTTCCCCGGCCCATCTTGCCTATATTGTATAGCCATGATGGGTGTTATAAATATCTAAATGATACTTGGCTGAAGAAGCTTCCCTACCCCGTGGCTATAGCCTCAGGCCTCTAGAACCACTCAGCAAATCAATATTCAAATCTAGCTCCTCCTCTCCCCAAGGATGTTCCAGAACCAATCTCTCTATCTGAATCCCTAGTCCACTTTCCCTGAGCTGGTCAAATGTACTCTGTAATAAAAGCCTTAACATGAGCCCTTTGTGGTTGTTACAATGGGGAGTGTCTTACCCTTATACAGTTCAGTGATCACCCAAATGAACATCCCCACCTTTGTTGAGTGCCAGCTATGCCTTGTGTATGCATTTCCTCATGAAATAACTAACTTGGGTTTTAAAAATGTATTGTGGGGGTCAGAGAGATGGTACTGGGAGTCAGATGCTTGCCTTGAATGTGGCCAACCCTGATTCATTCCCCGGCACCCCCCAAGGAACCTCCAGAGATTCCAGAGGTGACCACTGCTGGACATGGTACACACAAAAAAAGAAGAAAATGAAAAGAATATATAATAATTTCCCAGTTCTGTGTCTGCCTTTAGATGAGCTAATCTGAAGGCCAACACAGATAAGGGCCTAATTTACTAACTAGTAAATTTACTGATTTCCTAAAACCTCTGACTGCAAGTCCTGCGCTCTTTCTGCTTTGCAGAGAGACCGGATTAAGAAGAAATACAGCTACAATCAAGTCCTGGACACACGTTCACAAGCTCCCATTCGGTCGCCGACTTTCTTCCTGGCCCCACGGGCTCTCCCGGCGCCTCTGATGCGTTTGAGCCGCACGGGCGCTGCAGGGGACGATATCAGCCACGAGAGGGCGCCCCTCCCCTAGGCAAAAAGCTCGGCAGGGAAAGTGCGCAGTAGCCGCGCACCCCGCGGCAGCAGACGCTGTCTGTTTTGCTTAGATCCCCGGGTCAGCGCAGAGCTGGGCAGCCTGGGTAATCCGAAGGGCAGCGGCCAAGGCGGTGGGGGGGAAGGACAGGCCTTTTCGGGGCTGGAGAGTGAGAGAGAGAGAGAGAACAGCGGGCAGGGCGCTTTGCCTTGCACGCGGCAGACCCGGGTTCCATCTCCAACATCCCAGATGGTTCCCTGAGCACAGAGCCAGGAGCAAACCCTGAGCACCGCCGGGCGTGGCCCAAAAAATTTAAAAGGAGAAAGAAACGGAGAGGGGCCCTTTCCAAGTTTCACAGCCACAGCCGGGCTTGGTGGGGGTGGGGACAGAGAAGTTAAGCCTCCCTTGCTAGGAGATGCCGAGACTGAGGGTGATGCGATGCGCCCGCCACCGCCAGCCTGCTCCGGTCTGGGCCATGCCCTGAGCCCACCGGGAAGGGCAGATGCAGAGGTGACCGAGCGCTCGGCGGTCCCCAACCTCTCCCCCCGCCCCACCCCACCCCCATCCCGGTATGGATTTTGCTGAGCCAGGCCGGGTGGTGGTGGTGGTCTAGAGGAGAGAGAGAGGAGAGCAGAGGGACAGAATAGACAGACAGGCAGGCAGACAGACAGACAGGCAGGTAGACAGACAGACAGACAGACAGGCAGGCAGGCAGGCAGACAGACAGACAGACAGGCAGGCAGGCAGACAGATAGGCAGGCAGGCAGACAGACAGGCAGGCAGGCAGGCAGGCAGGGAGGCAAGCAGGCAGGCAGGCAGGCAGGCAGGCAGACAGACAGACAGACAGACAGGCAGGCAGGCAGGCAGACAGACAGGCAGGCAGGCAGGGAGGCAAGCAGGTAGACAGACAGACAGACAGACAGGCAGGCAGGCAGGCAGGCAGACAGACAGACAGACAGACAGACAGGCAGGCAGGCAGACAGATAGGCAGGCAGGCAGACAGACAGACAGACAGGCAGGCAGGCAGGCAGAGAGCCAGCCGCCTCTCGGGGCCAAGGGCTGCGGCGCAAGCAAGGCAGCCTCGACTCCTGGAGCGCGGGAGCCGCTTCTGCAAACAACCCATCGGGGCTCCCCGGGGGACCCCGCCAGGGCGTTGGAGGTGGGGGCGGCTCCAGCTGCGTCGCCCGAGAGATCCGCCGCTTGGGGGGACCTGTGTGTCGAACGCGCCGCGGGAACCGGCGGGGCGGGTGCGCACCGAGTTCTCCCGCGCTCGCGGCGAGGAGGGGTCGGAACCAGCGCCGGCGGCGGGGCCGGTGGCGGTCGGGGGCGCGAGACCCCCGGCCCGGGGCGCCGCGGCGAACGAAGGCGGCCCCCGGGGACCGTCCAAGCCGCGCCTCCGAGCACTCGCCCGAGCCACCGACCAACTCCCCCTGGGAAGGCGCGGGGCCCGGCAGGGCGCGCGGGCGGGCAGCGGCCGGGCATTGTTCCCGCGCGTCGGCCGGGGTCCCGCAGGGGGCGGGGAGGCGGCGTGTCCCCGGGACCCGCCCCGTCGCCCTCCCCAGGGACCCGTGCATCCAAGCGGCCCGTCTTTGTGAAGTGGGGCGAGTCTCCATGGAAACGCAAAGGCACGCGGGGACGGCAGCTGTTGGGGGCGGAGAGGAGGGAGGGGGGCGCCGAGCGGGGTCGGCGGGTTCTCGGGCCGCGTCCTCCGTCCCCTCTCGGACCCCGGCCCGGCCCTGGGCCTGTCGGGACTTGTAGTCCCCGGGCGGCGGCCGCGCGCGGCGCGGAGGACGCGGGGCGCCGCCCGCGCCCGCCTCCCGCGAACCTGCAGGCCGAGGCGGGGGGCCCCGGGAGGCGCCGTCGGGCCGGTGATTGGCCGAGGCCGCCCCCAGCCCCCTCCCCGGCCCCTCCCCCGCGCGGCGGGCGGCGACCGAGCGAGCGCGCGTGCAGCCGCCGCCGCCCCAGCTCCGCAGCTCCCGCAGCTCGGCCGCCGAGGGACCGCGGAGAGACGCACGCCCGGGCGAGCCCCGCAGCCGCAGCATCCCGGCAGAGTGGGTGACGGCGGGCGGGCGGCGCTCGCCCTCGGGGCTCTCGGGTGGGGGACGGCGGGCGCCCGGAGGCCCGGTGGCCCGGGGCGCGGTCCGGGCGGCCGGCGCCGGGGAGGTGTGGTTGGGGCTGGGGGCGGCCTTCGGGGCCCGCCGGGGCCGGGGCCGCGCCCCTTTGTACGCCCGCGGCGCGCCCGCCGCTGCCCAGCCCTCCGCAGGCGTCCACGGGGTCCTCGCGCGGGGCGGGGGCTCGCACGGACCCGGGCGGCGACGGGCGAAGGGCTCCGCTCCCGGCGCCCACCCGGCGTCCAGCCTCGCGCGTCGAGGGGCCGCGAGAGGCCGGAGGGTCGGGCGGGGCTTCTCCAGGGCCCGGACCCGCCGCGGCCGCGGCCCCCACCCTCCGCCCGTGCCCACGCCCCCGGTCCTTGGCGTTGGCGGGGTCCCGCCGGGCCCCCGGCTCGCGGCACCGACGCCCGAGGACGCCCCGACACCTGCCCGGACCACAAAGGCCCCGCCGCTGCCCGGGCGCGGGGACGGCGACGCGGCGGCCCGGGGGTAGGGGTGGGTGGTGGGTGGTGGGTGGTGGGTGGGGGCCGCGCTGGAGGCCCAGCTGGGGAGGAGAGGCTGGGATGGGGCGGGGAGGCGTCGGCGAGGCCTGGGTTCGAGCGGAGACGGTGAGCCGGAGGAACTGGGTGGGGACAGGTGACGGGGAGGAGGGGGCAGGTGGAGACGCGGGTGGGTGCGGGGAGATCGGTGGGGGGGTGGTCTGCGTGGGGGGAGGGAGCTGGGGCAGGTGGCGCGAGGCGAGGCCGGGGCGGAGGAAGAATGCGGCGGGTAGGAGAGGCGCGGGAGGGTGGGGACCGCCAGGGTTTGGGGGAGGGTGGGCACGAGGGAGGAGGGGACCCGCGCGGCGGCGGCGCGGGGTGGGGGGGAAGGGAGGGGCGGGCGCCGGGGAGGCGGGTGCCGCGACCCTTTGCCCAAGGGGCGGCCCCTGGAGGTGCAGGTGGTGCTGGGCGTGGCCCCGGGACCCGGCGGCGGGCTCGGGCAGCAGGATCCGGGATCGGGCGGGCCCGTCCCCGCCACGAGCTTTGTCTCGCGGCTGGAGCGCGGCCGGTGCGCGGACGCGCCCGGGGGGCTGGGTGGTCTCGGCGCGGCGGGCACACCCTTTTCTTCGCCGAGCTGAAAGGCCTGGTCCCGCGGCAGATGCTGCCAGGGGGGGCGGGATGGGGCTGCGGGGTGGGTGGGGGGGACCCGGAGAACAATAGCGGGCCCGGGTATCCGCCCGACACCAGCTCCCCCACCGCCCCCACCCCGGCGCGCGCTGTGGACGTGCCTTCGGGGCGCCAGGAGCCCCCCGGAAAAATCTCCGGGCGTGTGCCGCCTCTCCTGGGGGCTGTGTTGGGCGGTCGCTTCTGCCTAGGAATCACGCGTTTCCTACCCCCCCCCCCAAAAAATAAAAAAACGCCGCCCGAGGGGCTCGGGGGCTTGGGTCCCGCCACGCCGCCGCCGGCCGCGCGCGCGCGGGTGGCCGCCCCGGAGGTGGTGGCGTCGACGTGGACCTCGCTCCCTCGAGGCTTTGTGTGTTCGTAGCGGGGAGCCGGCAGGGCTGGGGGCAAAAGCGGGGTTCCCGGGGCGGATGTGCGCTTTCCTGGCCCAGCGTGCCAGCCAGCCCGCGGGGACCCAGGCGCCCCTCGCCAGAGGCCACACCCAAGGCAGCCTGGCCATCCTTTGCGGATTTAGCCAGCATTGTCTTAGGTCACTAAGGCGGGAGGGAGGCGCGCACTGATAGGAGGCGGGTAGGCGGCGGCTTGCCACGGGGGAGCTGGAGGAACAGAAATGGAAACACAAAATACAGAGTGAACCGAGCCTTCTGGCGCTCCGAGTCCTGACCCCGTTCCTCGGCACCTGTCAGGGCCAGGCTCAAGGTCCCCACGTGCCACGACTGCCCGGAACCAGAATTCTCTTGCGCAGATTTTCTTTGATAGTCATTAGGCAGATATTAAAGCAGGTTTTTTTTTATGATCATTTAAATTTTAAAAAAAAGAGCGAGGCAAACGCATTTGTGCCTTGGCCTCACTGTCCCCTTTTATTCACTGAAATATATCTAATTTATATTTACATCTTGGTCCAGGAGGGGAGGAAACTTGGCCAAATCAGAGCATCCTGGAACTGAGATGACTTAGGCTTCCCGTTCATTTAGTGATAAGCCCTTGGCTGTCTTCGCCAGGCCTTGAACCCTCAGGATATACCTCCACAGATGCGTAGATACATCCTTGAGGGGCTGTTGGCTCTTGGTCAGAACTAACAGAGTTGCCTCCCCTTCCGGCTGCATCCCGGGGCCAGCCTGGAGCGGTGATAGGCATCCCGTGCTTGTAGAAGGGAGCTTGGAGGAGGCGCCTTGCCTGGGTCTGGTCTGGAAGGACAGGTTGGGGAGTGGTAGGTTGGTTCTTGGGGCTCCGGCTCAGGGATGTGGCTACCATCAGCCCCTCACAGATGCTTCCAACTAAATGACCAGAAGTTGACAGCAAAAATCAAAATTTCCAGGCTTAGAAGCCAGAACCCTGACACTTGACGCTCTTTTCTTTGGAAAGAACTCCGCTAGGAAATTAGTTTCTCCTCTATTACCCAGCAGGGAAAGATTCAGCAGAGGATGGCTTGATTGGTTATTTTTTTTTTTGCCACACCTGGTGGTGCTCAGGAGTTATTCCTGTTTGGGGGACCATATGGTATGCTGGGGATCGAACCTAGCGTGCAAGGTGAACACCCTACCCTCTGTGCTGTTGCTCCAGTCCTTTTGATTTTTGTTTTTATTAATAGCATTTTGTGCCAAGGGTCGAACCTTGACTGTGCAGGAAGCGTGTTCCGCAGCTGAGCCATTCCCCTCAACCCTTATTGGTTGCTTTTTTGGGGGGTGTCCGATTTTCTAGGAGCCATGCCTGGCCGTGCTTTGGATCCTGGTGCTACGGGGGACCATGTGGTTCCAGAGATCAAACTCAGGGCCTTGCCTGTGGTACACATGGCTTCATCACTGAAGTTATCTCCCCAGTCGTTGGTTTTATTATTCTTGGTTTTTATTATTTTTGGGGGGTGGGGGATTTGTTCCAGTGTTGCTTAGGGGCTACCCTTGGTTCCTCAGGGGTCAGTCCTGGTGGTGCTTAGGAGAACATACGTGGTCTGGAGGTTGAACGAGGGTTGGCTACATACATGCAAGACAGGGGCCTTAACTGTCTCTCCACCCCCTGTTTTTTTCTGGAAGGGTTAATGCACCTGTTTAAGGTGTCACCCTATGAAAGATGTGGCTGTGTGAACACCCTTTTTCCCAGGGTGGGAGCCTAAGGCTGAGGAAGGCCTTGGTAATCCAGCCTATGCCAGTGTCCTGGAGACACAGTCCGGAGAAGGGTGATGATCAGGGAGTCCCAGAGAAGAACTTTACGTGGCCAGGTTTCTGGGGGTGCCAAGCTCCATCTCCCTGATCTTGGAGACTTCTTAAAGAGCTGACTTCTGTTTGGGGACCATACCTGGCTGTGTTCAGGGCTTACTCCTGGCTCTGTACTCAGGGATCACTCCTAGTGGGGGTTGGGAAGGACATAGGTGGTGGCAGGGATTGAACCTGGGTTGGCCACAGTGCATGGCAAGGGCCCCACCCACTGGACTATTTCTATTCCAGCGATTTTTCTCACATCGTCAGGGCTTCTCCTATTGGTGTGGTTATATTGGGGGGCTTATTTATTGGAGAGCCATGGTACCCACCCTCTCTTCTCTCTTCCTTCCGTGACAAAGAGGAGAACTCAGGCTCCGTGATGATGCTTATGCTGAGCTAAGTCTGGGGAACTAGAGGCCAAAGGTCATCAGAACTTTGAACAAATCAATGAGCTACATCAGGATCCAGATTTTTTTTTTAAAAGGTTGTGCCAGGGATTGAACCATACACCTACTGTGTGTGCTGTTCCGCTGAGCTGTGTTCAGGTGCCTTAGGTCAAGGCTGAGGCAGGGAAATCTTTATTTTTGTTTTTGGGCCACAGTGGGTATTGCTTTAGGGCTTATTCCTGGCTCTGTGCTGAGAATCACTCCTGGAGCACTCCAGGACCATATGAGGGCCAGGGATGGGACCTGGGTCGGCCGAGTGAAGAGGAAGTGCCCCACTCGCTGTTCTGTTGCTCCAAGGCCCCGAGAAGTCGGTCTTAAAAGGGTCTTTTAAGACTCAGTTTGTCTTTTTGATGTTACAATCAACCAAGTTCTGATCAAATGGGATGTCCTGTTTCTGGTTTGGTTTGCTGAGCTGTAAGAGCATTCCGGGGTCTGGCTCACAGAAAGTCTTGTCAGTGGGACGGGTCGGAAAGTTCCTGGGGCTTGAGCGAGAATCACAAGGAGGCATTTTGGTTGGGCTGCACTGTTGGGGAACAAATAAGCAGTAATGTCACAGTCGCCGGCCTTGAGTATTTTACAGGAAGGCAAGCTGCAACTCTTAGGGGATGAATCATTAATAAACTTGGATATGCATGTCCAGACGCAAACACAAACAGGCCACTAATGGAGGAGACTCACGGGGGAGATTGTTCTTGCCTCGTCCTGCTTCCGTCTTCGGAGCTTTTAGCTGCGTGTCTGTGCCAGGGGTCAGCTGGGGCCTCCAGAGCTTGCTCCCTCCCTCGGGGCTGCACCCCTGCTCCTGATGCCTGTTTAACTGAAAAGAATCAGACTGATGGGGCCCAGAGACAGCTCGGGGGCGGGGATCCCCAGCACCACATGCCCCCTACCCCCAAGCACAAATCGACGTGATCTGGGGGACTCCAGTACCACAGGGAGCCATCTCACCCAGTTGTTCGAGCATCACTAGGAGTGGTCCCAGGTCCCCTGAGCACTGCTGGGGGGGGCTCTCTCCCCCTTCTCTCCCCCCCAAAAAAGAGAGAAAAAGCAAGCAAATAGATTTAACCTAGCACCCACACCCCCTCCTGCCCGGATCCCCGCCACTCTTCCCAGTCTCAGGAAGGGGAGCCTGGAGAAAAGCC